GAAGGACTGGCTCACAGACCTCCAACCTCAGTCCAATCTTGGAATCCATAAGGTGGAGAAAACTTACCCAAAAAGGTTGTCTTCTGACCTCACTTGAATGCTGTACACACACATCATTCTTTCTTTTTCTTTCTTTCTTCCTTCCTTCCTTCCTTTCTTTCCTTTTCTTTTTTTTTTAAGATTAGGAATTACCACATGGGTGCTGGAGCAATGGCTTAGAGGTTAAGATGGCTCTTCCAGACGACCCGGGCACAATTCCCAGCACCCACATGGTGGCTCACAACTGTCTGTCTACAGTTTTGGAAGACCCAACACCCTTATACAGGCATACACACAGGCAAAACATCAATGAACAAATAAAAGAATTAAACCACATGACCCAAAAATTTCATCCCTTGTATTCTTGCATAGAAGATTAAAATTGATGAATGCCTAAAATGTGTACAGATATAATTATTCCTATTAGACAAAGCACCAAAACATCCAAATGATTAGTGGGTAAATAAAATGTGAAATACCCATCTGCCTATTCGGTTATAAAAAAGAAAGTAAGTATTGGCACCCACTACTATATGGATTAATCTTGAAAGTACAGTTAAGTGAAAAAACCGAGCTATAGATCATACCTTCATACAGGCAGTAGATGAGTGGAGCTGGGGTCTTGACAACAGCTTCTTTTTCTGGGGAAAAGTCTAAAGTTAGATTTGTTGACGGCTTTAAAGTTCTTGAATACTGTAGGTTCCCGAAACTGTCTACACTGTCAGTTACCTGTGGTTAACTATGGTCTGAAAACAACTAATGGAGAATTTCAGAAATACTTGGTTTAAATTGCACACCATTCTGAGTAGCTTAGAGACAATGTCATAAGTTTGTCCGGGATGCCCACTCTGAACTGTTGTCGGAGTATGAAAGGAGGTTAAAAATTACCCCAAAGCACTAAGAACAGTCATATTTGTTAAATTTCATTTATCTGTATCATTTTATAAATTAAACAATATAGGTTGAGATGATTCAGAGGGAAAAGTACTTACCATGCAAGCCTGAAAACCTGAGTTCATTCTCCAGAACCTTGTTAAGGTGGAAAGAAAGAACAAACCAACTCCAGTTACCCTGCTATCTTACAGGAGTGCTGTGGGAAGCATGCACCTACACATTATACACACACCCTAATAAACTGAGTTATTTACAAGTTATAGGTTATAAGTGGGTGAACTGTCTGTTATATCTCAGCAAAGATACTTACCCGTGTTTAACTCCTGTTTCTGATTTAGTGGGAAGCCGTGTCCTCCCTTTAAAATTATAATTCTGGATGAAGCAGATTCTATGACCTCAGCTGCTCAGGCAGCTTTGAGACGTACCATGGAAAAAGAGTCTAAAACAACCAGATTCTGCCTCATCTGTAACTATGTCAGTCGGTATGTATACGCCCTGAAGCTACATGCTAAGCCGCCTTTTTAAAGCTAAGTCATAATGTTATGGTATGCCAGGTGACGTGTCTTAATGGATTTGTAGCGACAACATTCCTTATTCTATGTTAATTTGAATCATGGTTGGTTTTCAATCTTTTCCAGAATAATTGAACCCCTCACTTCTAGATGTTCAAAGTTCCGCTTCAAGCCTCTGTCAGATAAAATTCAGCAGGAGCGATTATTGGATATTGCTGAGAAGGAAAATGTCAAAATCAGCAATGAGGTAAATACTAATTAATGATTATGTACTAATTCCTTTTATGAATGTACATCTTAAAGAGGTCCTGAAAATTTTAAGTGAGCACAATTGAAATACATGATTCCACATACACTTTTCCTGAGACAGTTTCTCTGTGTACTCTAAGAGATCCCCCTTCCTCTGCTTCCCCCAGTGCTGGGACTGAAAGCACACCCAAATGTGACCTCTTCACATTTGTTTCCCATTGGAAATGGGCAAAGGTCTGCCCATTTGCACAGATGCTATCTCAGCTAACCCACCTGCAAGAGTGAGAAACCCTGTCTAAAATAAAACTGATTAGACTCAAAACTTTCCCCCAAACAGTTCTCTCTTAAGGGAATTTAGTTGTTTGTGTGACAAGCACTTGGTAAGCCAGTTTTTTTTAACTCTTTTAAGGGAATAGCTTATCTTGTTAAAATATCAGAAGGAGATCTACGGAAAGCCATTACATTTCTTCAGAGTGCTACTCGACTAACAGGCGGAAAGGAAGTCACGGAAGATATCATCACAGACATTGCTGGGGTGAGCACTAGTTACCTGGCAACTCCAGTACTCAAGTTAGAGACCTTGCCCTGACTTTTAAATGGTCTGTATTCTTTCAGGTAATACCAGCTACAACCATTAATGGAGTATTCACTGCATGTCACAGTGGCTCTTTTGACAAACTAGAAGCTGTGGTAAAGGTAATCAAGTGAGTTACTTCAAAGAGACTGCTTTGAAAATTACTTGAGAAATTAACTTGAGAATTTCTGTTGCAGGACCTAATTGATGAAGGACACGCAGCTATTCAGCTTGTTAATCAACTTCATGATGCAGTTGTAGAAGATGAAGATCTTTCTGATAAACAGAAATCCATTATTACAGAAAAACTTGCTGTAAGTATTGAACAGCAATTAGTAAGGCTGGAGAACTGCCTCCTGGGTGCCCAACTTAAACTTTCCTTATTCCCTTTGTAGGAAGTGGATAAATGTCTGGCGGATGGTGCAGATGAACACCTGCAGTTGATGAGCCTCTGTGCAACTGTGATGCAGCAGCTAACTCAGAACTGTTGAAGACCAACTTGTATGAATTATCTTTTTGGCTAATAAATAAACGACAAAAAACCTATAAAGTGAATATACAATTTATTTAACATTCAAACTTCATTAAGACATGTGCAATATGGCAATTTTACTGTGGGTTTAACCCTACCTAGGATGATTGCTGAGGCTTAGCAACAGGGTCCAGTTCACGCTTAGCACTAATTAAATACTTTATTGAATAAATACAATACCAAACAAAATGCATTCAAATGTTTTCTAAAAAAAAGAAATCACTTTTAAAGGCCTTTCTAATCAGGCTAATGACAAATACAATAAAGGCAGATATGCTAGTTTAACATAATTGGCTGATTTTATACAGCACTTATATCTTTTAGTCCACAAGTATATTATTAAATGATAGAGAACATCTAATACAACCATTTCTACATAACTAGTAAATGAATTTCTAAGAAAAAAAGATTTTACAGACCCCATCTTTTTATACCCACCCCAACAGTCTAACTCTAAAGAGGATAAAGCCAATGCCTTTCCTCACAAGAGCTCAGGACTAAAGTCGCTTTGCTATCAGAATCTGTATTTGTGATCCGTTATGAGCATTGAGACAAGATTCAAATATTCTCAAAGAAGCACAATGCACGTTGTGATCGCCTATTCAGCAACAGCGAGCACTGCATTCAAACTATCTCATCCCAGGAATTAAATAAGGTCAGCCACATTCATGGGCATTTCCTCCACTGTAGTATTGTAGAAAGTCTCAATGTCACGAAGAATCCTCTTGTCTTCTTCAGTAACAAAGTTTATAGCCACACCTTTCCTCCCAAATCGACCCCCTCTGCCAATTCTGTGTAAGAAAAAAAAGAAACCAGCAGTCAGGATGTTGCTTTAGTATTACTTCATACTACTGAATATGACGATCCACTTGTTAACCATCAGCTGCTGTTTACTTATGGTTATAGTTCGTGCTTCTAAGTGGAGCACTAGCTGCTAAAAACCAATATATCCAGAGGTGGGAGGAACCATCTTCCTCTGCAGTTAGTGCCAAAAGATTTCAAGGCTTGTCTGGCTGCAAAATGAGATAGGCGCCTTGAGCATTATAATAAAAGCAGATGACAGTATTGTGTTTGGGGTGAAATTAAAGCCCATACCAAAGTGGGCCAGCCAGGAGCAGATGTCAGCCTGGGACAGATGTAAACACCAGGGATAAAAGAAAACAGTTATAAAATCCATTTCGACGCACTTCTGGAACTGTAAACTGTAAATACAAATGCTGCAAGGTTAACTATTTTCTAAAACTTACTTTTTTCCAGTGGGAAAACAAATATTTGGTATGGTAACCCAAACTTATCACTGCTTTTTGCTCAACTTTTCACACGTTATACTCATTACTCAAACGTGTTACCTCCAAAACAACTCTACCTTCCTACCAAGTACCAGACAGTACAGACCACCTAAAGCTCCCTATCATAAATGCTAACATAACAAAATGCCTTGGGCTGGAACAACTTAAAATATCAAATAATCATGACAAAAGAAAATCAAATATAAATACCGACTCGCTCTTTATTCAAACAGTGTGCTGTTTCGCTTATGATTCCACGTCCTAAATTACGTCAACGCCGTTTCTGAGCGCCATCTCGTCATCAACTGCCGCTATCGACTCCTGTATTTTTTAAAAAGTCTTTTTTTACATCATATAACAAAGTACAATTCAATTTATTTAGGGATAAAAGCCACTATAACTAAACCAGGGAATCACTCAAAATGCTACCAGCAACACCAAGAAAATCCCAACTATATAGAAACAATCACCAAGAAAGAAGCACATGAACTCAAGAAAATCACTAGTAAGGCTCAAACATAAGCTAAGACCAAAAAAAATCTAAAGCAACCTAATCTGCATGTATGTACGCAACCTTGGCCTCATTACAAGTTTTCCCACGTTGTTCTGACCAATATTCCCAAATCCAATTTTAATTAGACCTTGATAAATTATGCCTATTTACTGGAATCTATTCCCTGAATTGCCATTACCTTTTGTACAAAATACTGTAGGAAAACGTTCGAAATTCCTTCTCCAATACAAGTGGAGAAGATGCTTTCTCCTCACCTGTGAATATAGTTTTCACGATTGGTAGGTAGATCATAGTTTATAACCAAGGACACTTGTTGCACATCAATCCCACGAGCCTGAAATAAAAACAAGGCTTTTCAATACCTTAATTCAACAAACTAGTGTACATTCCTGTGATTATTGTAGGCCACAAGATAGTAATGAACCATACTAAATGGTATAGTCCACTGTGGAGTGTGGTCTAACTTATTCTGCCAAATAGCTTAAGTTGGTTAAGGTTATTTAAAAACACCTTCCCACAAATCTAGCTTTTGGGTACTTTTTAAAAGAGGGACACTTACCAACAAGTCAGTAGTGATCAGAACACGACTTGACCCTGATCGAAACTCCCTCATGATGACATCTCTTTCCTTCTGGTCCATGTCACCATGCTGCAAATGTTAACAACATCTTAATCAAGAATCTCTAGTAAGGTACACATTTAATTTCATGTATGAGACCAAGCGTCCCTGGCTGCTACTGAGTGTATAGCAGACAGGTATAGTTAAGAAACAATATTGTTTTGAGCAGGGGGAACGACAACATAGCACTTAACAGCCATATTGTAGTTAAATCCTGCTTAATGAATGTAATTTTGATTAACATTACTAAATCCAACTCTTACCAGGGCAGAAACGGTGAAGTCCCTGGCATGCATTTTCTCTGTGAGCCAGTCCACCTTGCGCCTTGTATTGAGAAAAATAACCGCTTGTGTGATGGTCAGTGTCTCATACAAGTCACATAGAGTGTCCAACTTCCACTCCTAATATAGGTTAAACAAAGTTATGTCAAATTTTCCATTTTAACAAAACTGTTATGTTTAACAGTGGTCCTCAACTTTCTTAAAGCTGTGAATCTTTAAGACGGCTCATGTTGAGCTTACCCAACCATACCAAGTATTTTGTTGAACTTATTTAGAACTAATTTTGCTGTTTTTCTTTTAAGAAAATAAATGCAGCTTAAAACGGATACAATGCTCCTTGAAATTTCTAAAACAAAGAACCAAAACTGAAGCATTATCAAAAATGGAAATGCAAATCAAGTAAAAAAGCAAAAAAAAATCCAGCTACTTTATAGAAGCTGTTCAGTTTATCATTTTGATTAAACAAAATGATACTAATTTACATTAATTTTCTCTTCCTGTTCAAAAATTCCCTCAAAAAAAAAACCCAAAAGCATAAAAGTGCATTCAGAACCCAGCAATTCCCTATTTTGTGCTCTTTATGAATCATAATATATATGTATGGTATGTAGAATTCTGATGTAATTAATCTTATGCAAATGACAGGCTGAAAACTGCCATTAGTAAAGACTTATTGCACCAAATCTTAAGACAAAGGACACTGGACATTAAGAAAGAGGTCCACCCCTGTCTTTGGAATCCAGTGCAGTTACTTTTCTTCTTGTGTGTACTCTGCTAGCATCATTACAAAAACTAAGATACAATCCTAGTTTCTGCAATTTTAGCACAGTGCTTATACAAGAAGGTGGGGGAAACTTTTATACTCAACAATGAGACAAATTACCTCTCTTTCAACATTAATATAAAACTGTTTGATTCCTTCAAGGGTCAATTCTTCCTTTTTCACCAGAATTCGAATTGGATCTCTCATGAATTTTTTGGTCACTTCTAACACATCAGTTGGCATTGTGGCAGAAAGCAACACAACCTGTAAGAGAAATACTTGTTTTTACCTGTGTATTTGTTGAACTTTCAGCTAATAATACAGTAGAAAGAAAATGTTTGAAACCAAGCGTCTCTGCCTGACTATGGTAGAGCTAAGCAGAGATAGTAAAGTATCAAATACTTTCAGCAGGGGGAACGACAATAGAACACATCAGTTATATTGTAACTTTACCTGCATGAAACCAAACCCATACAAGTAGGAAATAAACCTTACCTGAATACTTGTATTTAATTTTTGGAAAATCTCATAGATTTGATCCTTAAACCCTCGGCTCAACATTTCATCTGCTTCATCCAAAACAAACATTTTGATCCATTTTGGAGCTGTTAATCAAAAAAGTCATACTGTATTTCAAAGTTCCTGTAGCCATTTTTAATAATAAAAAGAAAAACCTATAAAAGACAATACTTACAAAGGTATCTTCTGTTTAGCATATCAAACACTCTCCCTGGTGTTCCAACAACAATATGAGGGGCTTCAGCCTGCAACTTCTGCATTTCATTTCGAACATTTGTTCCTCCAATGCAGGCATGGCAAGTTGCTCCCATATAATCCCCAAGAGCCAAAATTACCTTTTGGATCTAAAAGCCAAAAAGCGTAATTATCATCCTATGAAAACGTTAAGTTTTAAGACTTAAGCTCCAAGGCATAATTGCACTATTCTTTTCTGCCAACAGCCTTTATGCATGCATAGATAGCACAAAACTTACAATTTCAAGCTTACAATTCTCTTTACTTATTGTTCCCTCTTGTAAAACTGGGGACCTTGTTGCCTCAAACACCAACTGGGGACTAAGGAAAAAAAATTCCCACTTTCTCCACTGTGTAGGGTACAGAGTGAAATATTCTCTGTAGGGGCAAATGTTGGTCATTTTTCTCCCCGTGTACTATGCCTTATAACCTCGGCCTGGATAAAACTTCCAGCTTTATTAGCATTACTTCAAAGCCAATATAGCAGTGCTTTGAAACAGCATGCAACAGATGCATCACAAACTACTGAGACAGTCAAATGTTTAACATGTCACTGCAGTTTTCATGTTGCACAACTGGATTCCAAGTTTTCAAATGGGTACAGATACAATCTCCACCCTTTGAGTAAACCTATAGCTTCAACTGTTGAAGTACAACCCTACAAACCTACAATACCCAGGTCCTGCTTAGCTTCCAAAAACTTCCTGCATGCATGTATAACTAAAATGGGGGCTGATATTACTAGGACGATTCATACGTTTTACTTTTAAATCCTTCACAGTTGTGAAACCTGAAACCTATGCAACACGCAAGCAGTTTTTCGAACTACACTATCAATACCTGTTGAGCCAGTTCTCTGGTGGGGGCCAATACTAGTGCTTGGGTCTCCTTGAACTCAATCTCCAACTGTTGCAGGATGGAAATAGCAAATGTGGCTGTCTTGCCAGTACCTGACTGAGCTTGAGCAATCACATCATACCCTAAAAAAAGTAGGATACACATTTACCGATCCCACATCAAATCGTCATGTCTACTATACACCATGTATTCCAGTTGGAACATAAATTATGCCCAAGAAAGTGATCAGCAAGAGAGTCTCCTCATTTCAGGTCAGTCCCGAAAGATGATTGCCATCATTTCACTTTAAGGAATACAGACAGATGCTAGGTATTTCCCCAAAAGTTACTTTCCCATTTATGGTCCATATATATGCATAAACATTTAGTGTGTCAGTGAGTTTTACCTTTAATACAAGGAATTATAGCTCTCTGCTGAATAGCTGAAGGCTTCTCAAAACCATAAGCATAGATGCCTCGAAGAAGGGACTCCTTTAAGTTCATATCATCAAAGTTATCAACGATTTCATTCCAGTTGCTCTGTAAGTTAATGGTTGAACTATTAGTAAGATGTAAAAACTTTACTATCTCAAACCTTTAGCATCCACCACCCATTTCTTACCTCGATGACACCATCGGGGTCCATTCCCTCTGGGCCGCCATGTTCTCTGCTGACAAGAATACTGCAGTTAGATAACTCACCCCTTCCAAGCCACGAACAGACCTCTAAACGGAATGCCCTTCCCACCCTGTTCCTCAGTATTCTTTACGCACGCATCCTCTACTGAAAGTGCCCAAGCAAGGTGACATTGCGGCTAAGCACCATTCTTTCCCCACTGGCTGGGAATGTAGTAAAACGTGTAAAAGCCCCTTCACTTACTGCCCTAGGACCAGGCCCTCACGTTTGGAAAAAGCACCTCTCGCGAGTGCTGCGCGCGCCGAGCTCCGCCCCTAACTCTGCGCAAGCCGGCGTGATTGACGCCGTGGAGGCCCAGCCAGGACCATGCCAACGGCTCGTCCGCACCCGGTTTACGGTCCGGTGTCATCGTCCTCTAGCCGTCCAATCTCCCACCTTGACAGAACCCTTGGAACCCCCCAGCTCGCGCAACCGGCCGCAAATAAAGCCAGGACACGGTCACACTGTCCTCAGCTGACTGCGCCACGGCTCTGCTAACCATGTCCCGCATGGGGAGGGGCAGCGGCCAAGATGTCACAATGTCTCCTAAGGACATCCTTAACACTCCGTTCTCCCACCCGTCCTGTCTGCCCACCATCTGGAACCCTACCATGATGGAAGCTTCTCGAAGGACACAAGGGGACTGTGTTGTGTCCCTAAGAAAAAGCCCGCATGGCTGCAGTGTGGCCGCCAGCCACCAACCTCAACTGCGGGTGCTAGTGACCTTCACTACCGGCCACCGGCCGCCCCGGGAGCTCCATACCTGTTGTAATCCGCGGAGCCACCAGACATGATCCGAAAAACCACTCAGCGCCCGACTAAAAAGACAGCCGCGCGGCGCCGCCCGTTTTTTATAGGCTCGTGGCCGGAACCCGTTTTCTCGCGGAGGAATTTTCTTATCTGTCTTCGGAAGCCGCAAAAATTGTCCTCCTCGGGTTTCTTCCCGCAGTTGAAATCCTAAGGGAGTCGACGACAAAATCCACATTTCATTATTACTTGGTATTACAGCGTTCCCGGAGATCCATGAATCAGGAGCGGGGCTGGGACTCTTTGCGATCGGCGGAAGAATATTGCAGCAGCGCGACCGCGCGCCGTGCTCCTCGGCCGCCCTGCTCCTACGGGGTTTCCGCGGCCCTGCCGCAGAGACCGGCGGAGCTGGGGACGCCCCGGGCGGAAGCCGGTGGCGCTGTTTGCTGGCGAGCGGCGTCTCCAGGACGCAGCTCCGGGCTACCTGCGCGTCAGCGTGCCGCTGTTCCGCGCCGGAGGCGGATGCCGGTTACTCCGCCCGTGCTCACTGCTGTTTAATGGGTCGGTAAAGGACTACCTGGCATTTCGCCCAGCCTTTTCCTAGCCACCCAGATCTGCCCCGGAAAATGTCGGCCGCCCAGCACGTCCTAGGAAATTCAGTTCGCAGTTAGACGTGTAATGTCCTTTAACTGATGCCCCTTGGGTGGCGGTTCTATTTTCAGGTCCTTCTGGTCGCCTTTAACTTCAGTTAAAAAATAAATATATATATAATAATGCTAATAATTTAAACCTAACAGGTGTGAGAAACGTTTGATGAAATCATCACCAACTTTTGCAAAGGACCTGTCATTCTTTGTACAG